CTGAAGTCAAGGAATAACACGTCCACTACTTTCCCCTCATCCACAGAACCAGTTATCTCATCATAGAAGGCAATTAGGTTAGTCAGGCATGACTTGCGCTTGGTAAATCCATGTTGTCTGTTCCTGATCACTTCCTCTCCTTGAAGTGCTTCAAAATTGATTCCTTGAGGACCTGCTCCATGATTTTTTCCAGGGACTGAGGTGAGGCTGATTGGCCTATAGTTCCCTGCATCCTCCTCCTTCCCTTTTTAAAATGGGCACTACATTAGCCTTTTTCCAGTCATCTGGGATCTCCCCGGACTGCCACCATAACACGTTAATTGCTTTGAAATAAGTCTGTAATCTTCTCTGTTATACAATTACCTAAGTGACCTGGATGCTAGCTAGCACTCTGTCACATGCAAACCAGGCTTATTTCAGTTTATATTAAATTAGTTAGGTACAGGTTTAAGCTAAACCAGAATAAGTCACTCTTAAATTGAAATAATGTCTGCCCAGGAGTGTGTTTTGGTGTTACCACGCTGGTGCAAGTTAATGTGTAGACAAGTCCTTATTCTGACATTCCAAACTTCTGAGCAGCTTCAAACAGCCATCATTTTACTTCTAATCAACCTTCCACAGAAATATTTCTTCAAGCTACCAGGCAAATGATTACTACTTGCGGAATTCCTCTCCTTCCCCTCTCCCTCCAAATTACACTGATCCACGGTGCAGGTCAGGAAATATTCAGTCCTGAGACAGTGACAGATTTAAGAATTGCAGTGGACTAGAAACAGGGACAAAGATTTTCAAGGATGTTTAATTTGAGACCCCTTAAAGGGACCTGATTTTTAAAAAGTGCCAAGTACTGATGGTCTGAAAATCAGGCCCCTTTAAGATGTCTCAAGTTGGGCAGCCAAAAATTGAGGCACTCAAATCACTAATGGCTTGTGAAAGCTTTAGCCAGCGATTTTATACCACTGCAAAGGGGGAGATTCATGCCTCTCCAATGAGACAGAAAACAATGACTTCCAGCCCTGGAAAGTCCAAAATAACAGACAAACCCTGTCATTTTTAGATATAGAAAAAAGCTTCTGAAGGTGTTTTGTTTTGTTTTTTTCTTGCCAGGAGTTCTATACAGTTCAACTCATGGTCTCCTGGGTTTTACAGGTGGAAAGATACAAGCACTAGTACCAATTGTATGTTTAACTTTTCTAAACTCTTTATAAAATCATTTTTCTGTAAGAAAATGTCATCTACAGAATATACGCTGGAGTGATATAAAGATTTATCAGTACTTTTTGAGTTGCCCAGCACAATTCATTTGTAACTTTTGAGTAATGTGACCAAGCCTGTGTTTGATAAAAACTTTACCTTTCACCCCTCCTGTCATGGATTGTATTGATTACAAAACTTAAAGCACCAGTTTGAAAATGTGTAGTATTATATTGTATCTTCTTTCATGTCACTCTAAGATGATGCAAAATGATACCTTGTCTTTAGCTATAGAGTGCAGTTTGTTGTTTTGTGTCACAGCATGGACCATATGGACTTTTGTGTTCATTTATGGCGTATAATAAGGCCAGTTACTTTGGAAGGAATGGATTTGCACATTAACCAGCAAAGAGTAAAGAATTGCTTATATTGGAGAGAAACATGGTAGCCTGGATGCCTGTTTGCCCACTCATCCCACAAATGTCTCTACACTTCTTTTCTATACTGCTCACTACAGATCAAACATCTTTCCTGGGGTGGAGCATCAGTTCAATACCTTCTCTTTATTCAAATCCCTCCTTGAGATCTACTTCTATTGAATACCTTCTTGTGGGTGTTAAAACAAAAGCATCCATTTTTTTTATTTAAATGTTTTTTAAATGCTCCATATGCCAAGAAGTTGCTCCACTGTTCTTGGGCCTAGAGAGATGCTTGTCTTATCTGTAGTGTGAATTTGACTTAAACGAGTAACTACTTCTCAGGGTTGTTTTTGTTTTTTGAAACTGAGTTGTTGCCTGCCACATTGAGTAACAATGCAATGCCACATTATACATCAGTTTCCTCACCATTAGATTCCAGAGAAGTTGATAACCTATAATGGTCCAAGTGGTTCATTTCAATAATTTCCTTTCACCTATCAGTTCAAAACACATCACATCAAGCCTTTACTATTATTATTACAGTCAAATGAGCTAGCAGAGAAGTCAAAACAAATATCAAGAACTAGATAAAAATAAAAAGAGATAATGCATTCAATATTTAGAATTGTCAGAAAAAATTTGCAACATCCTCAGATGCTTTAGTAGGCGTACCAGTTGAGTGGCACTATTCAAACATTTGTCATTCAGCCTAAGTTTAATAATCTTCCTGAAGTGAAGGCACTTAACTTGGAAGTAGCTACAAAAGGAATTTAGAACCAGAAGAAATACTATGACAAAAATGCTCAACAATTACTCCCATTGCAAGTAGGAGAGAAAGTTAAAATCCAAACAAAAAGAAGCTGGCAGTTTACCAAGAGAATAGATATACCATGCATGCCCAAGCCACCTGTCATAACTATCCCTGACAGTGTGTCCTAGAGGAGGAGAAGACATTGAAACAAGGACACAGAGGCCTACTGACTTTGCTCTTGTATTGGTAGAACTAACACATGCACCCCCAGTTACTAAGAAAAACACCAGGAATAGAAAAGATGAAGTCCATGTGGCTGATCTACCTGAGCACTGAAGAGCGTGCTGCAGAAAGAGCTATTTTGAGAACAAGTGGCCATGGGATCAGAAAGCCACTGACAGGATCTAAGACAGAAACTGTTAACAGACTAGACTGTGACTGTTACTTTTAGCTGAGTTTGTTTTATTTTCATGTGAATTTTTTAAAACAAGACTCCAGTAATTACTGGAGTCAGTGAACACTAAAATTTCTCATGTGACAGGGAATTTGTAACTCTGGCACAGGGCATGTCACTGAAGCCAGGACAGGAAGTTCAATTTCCTGCTAGTAGTATTTATCAGTCCCTTGTTACATTACTGCTCCCCATCAGGCAGTTGTTGCAAATGGCCAAGACAAAACATGTTCCATCTGTGTCATAGGGGACCAGAGACCTGAGTTAGGTCACCTCACTACTAGTCTAGTTTATATAGGTTCTTAAACTATCACTGCAATATCTGAGCGTCTTCCAGTAGTGCATTAAGTAGTGTGACTGACCACAATCATGTTTGGTTCATTCACTCCCAAGGGGGAGAATTGTGTATGTGTTGTAGTATTTTGGTTTTGGTAGGGTTGTGACTTGCTGCTAGTTTTGATGTACATGCTGCTCTGTGTTTGTGTCAGAGACGTGCACATTCCACTTAGCATGGAAATTGATGAGGTTTGTTTGGTTGGTTCCCTCTCACTTTGTGGGGGAGTTTGTTACAAAATTTCAGGCTGGCCCCTGAGAATGCTCTGTCCCCGGCACAGTTGAGCTTGACCTTTAGGATAGAAACTAGAAAGTTCCATTGTGTCTGAAAAGCCAAGTCATTGATCCCAGTTCATCCCAAAGCTTTGTGTGATATTTTAGATGTGCTGGGTCCAGGCCAAAGAGCACTTGAAAATAAGGACCAAGACCTTGAATTTAACTCTGTACTGTCGAGGGGCCAGTGTAGGGAGCAGAGGACAGCCCTTCCATAACAAAACACTACACAATTGCAAAATGGGGAATAACTGGTTAAGTGGCTGAACTAGTGAACAGAATCTGGTGATAATAGTGGATGACAAATTGAATATGAGTCAACAATGTGATGTAGCTGCAAACAAAGCTAATATCATTTTGGAGTGTGCTAACAAGAGTGTTGTATGTAAGACACAGGAGGTAATTGTTGTGCTCTACTTGGTCTCTACTGAGGTCTCAGCTGGAGTATTGTGTCCAGCTCTGGGCACCACACTTTTAAGAAAGATGTGGACAACTTGGAGAGAATCCAGAGGAGAGCAACAAAAGTGACAAAAGGTTCAGAAAACCTTATACGTGAAGAAAGGTTAAAAACCGGGGCATGTTTAGTTTTGAGAAAAGAAGACTTGAAGGGAGACCTGATAACAGTCTTCACATATATTACAAAGAGGATGGTGATCAATTGTTCTCCATGTGTACTGAAGGTAGGACAAGAAGTAACATCCTTAAGCTGCAGCAAGATAGATTTGGTTAGATACTAGACAAAACTTTTTAAGGGTAGTTAAGCTCTAGAAGAGGCTTTTAAGGGAAGTTGTGGAAATTCCATCATTGGAGGTGTTTGAGGACAGGTTAGACAAACACCTGTCAGGGATGGTCTATGTATGGTCCTGCCAGCCCCCTTCACTGGGGTTAGGTGACCTCTTAAGGTCCTTTCCAGCCCTGCATTTCTATGTTTCTATGCACTTGTGGATAGCCTGTGTTGCTGAAACCTTCTATGTGTGCTAGATGGAGGTTTTTAAGGGCTGATGGCTTCATGCCTGCTCCTGTTTAAACACTCCCCACTAGTGTCCATGCCCAAGTGTAGAGGGGGGTGTCCTAGTTATGTCTCCATCCCCCACCTAAACTGCTATACACATCCATATATTGAAAGGGGTATTTGAGTTCATTCATGAACATACACCACCCCTCTCGATGTAAAACAGACACTTAGATCATCCTTTTAATCGCAGAATGAAGTGCAGAAGAGGCAACCCTGAGTTGTACCCTAAAGATCAAAGAACAAAAGAGGATGATGTCAGCTTCTTATTTTTAAATAAAGGAAGAAGCCCACTGTGAGGAGACAGATTGAGGGAGATGAAAATCATGCTTCTGGAGAGGGCCAGCCCCAGAAGCAGAAGCCTCTGTGAGGAGCAGGGGGAAACAGACGAGAAAAATAAACAAGCCCCTGAGGGAGGAAGTATTATGCGCCATTGATGAAACATGAATGAGCAAAAATCCCAATCAGAAGCAGGGCAAATTGGTTCCAGCGAGTCAGGCCGAAACAGCAAACAAAGTGGGGGGTGGGGGGGGCAGCGAGAGGCATATGGGAGCAGCGTGGACCCAGTTAACATGCAAGGCAAAGTGGCTGGTGGAAGGGCAGGCGTTCAAGCCGGCGCGGTGACCAAGCGCACAAGCTCCAGCCGAGCCCGGGGGCTGCGTGGCGGGAGCGTGTGGACTCCCGAGCATGTGTCTGCGCCATCCCGTGGGTGTGGCGCAGAGCGGAGTGTCAACGCCGGCAGGGCGGGAGGAGCGAGCCGGGGATTACAGGCAGTCAGGCTGCCCGGCAGAGGAGTGAGGAGGGCTCCGGTGGCCAAGGCAGCAGCAGCAGCAGCCGCAGCCGCAGCATGGCTTCATCCCAAGGGAAGAGTGAGCTGCCATCCGCAGACTGGATGGCAACTTTGCCAGAAAGCATCCACAGCCTCCCCTCACCAACCTAGCCATCCCAGGTAGGAGACCGCAGCTACGCGGGGCGGTTTGTCCCCCCCCCCCCATCCCCGTCATGTTTATTACATGGCGATATGAACTAGCATGTGCCAAGAAAAGCCTCCTTCGCTGAGAAATGGGGCGAGCTCTTGCATTTCCACTTCTTGCCTCGGTGGGTTGAGGGGTGAAATCTCTCCCGGAGCGCTGCTTGCAAGGTGACTGCTTTTCTGAGCAGCCTTTGTGCCTGTGGAGCCGGGTCTGTCCCCCCCTCATTTCCCTTCTCCGTGCCCTTATGTCCCCCCCCCCCCCGCCATGGTTTTGCAGCTCAGGTCCCTATCCTCCCTCCACCACGGCCATTCACCTCCTCCTTGTTGACACTGAATTGGATGGATCTGGCGATTTCTTTGCCAGACCCTCCCAGAGCCATTAATATTCTCCTCGAGTCTCCCTTAAAGAGACTCAGCCCCTCCCGGCGAGAAGAGGCGAGGAAAGTTCGGGGTAGCCCCCCAGCCGCAGCAAAGCTGCTCTCCCCGGCAGGGCTGCTTGACATGTTGGCCCTGGGGTGATCTGGTGCAGATGTGCACGGGAACCAGCTATTCAATGAAATGCAGAAGCGCGTGTGTTTGTGTGGCTGTGGGAGAGCGAGCCAGCAATTGCTGTGAACTCCTGTTCTGTGCTTGATGCTTGCATGAAGTATGTGTAAAGGTTCCTGTATGCAGTCGTCTTGTAGCTATGCTGGTCCCAGGATGTTAGAGCGACAAGGTGGGTCTTTTATTGGACCAACTTGGGTTTGGTGAGAGAGACAAGCCTTACTTTCTTCAGGTCAGTTTGACTGAGGGAAAGAAAGACACTGCATGCTTACCACATCCTTCTGTAAAAGACTCACTATGGGTTGGAAGCTCATACAGCCCAGGACACAGGAAACATTACTTTGTCTTAACTTTTTAAATGACCGGCACAATCTGGAGTGCTAAACTGTTTGACTATCCTTAATGCTCAGCCCCCCCCCCCCCGCGCCTCCATCTCCAACAGATCAATGAGCTGTAATTAGCAAAGCATCTTCAGCTTTGGAAATTGAAAGAGAACTTATTTAGGACTATTAAAGCAGTATCATTATTACACCCTCTCGACTGCCAAGGCAGTGTCAAATGCAGGGTACCAGTTTTGTGAGAGCATATAAGGGCTTTATAGTATATTGGACGCTGTTGTTCAAAATCCACAAGAGCTGGTGAGAAGTACTGGGCTGTCATTTTATAGGAGCTGTAGTAGGAATATGCCACATTTGCCTGCTTCTGAACTCTCATTGTTCAGTGAGGGTTTGCAGCCAGACAGAGCAAAGGTAAAAACCAGACAGATCTTTGGAAATGCTAATGTGTTCTCTCAATAATTACGTGACTGAAATGGATTGGTGTGGCAGAATGTTCGGCAGGGGGGAGAAGCAATACCACCAAAACAATTACCAAAAAATAAAAAGCATTCGTATTCAGCAAATGCTAACTGGTGACTATTAAATGCTAATAAATTAATTGCCCTATCAGAGTGTTAACAGCTCACTGGGCTGCAACATGTTTATTTGCCAGTTGCATTAGTCTGAATTTTTAAAAAACCCAATAATCTCCCTCACCCCTTTTCTCTCTTTTTGAAGCTGTTCCTCAAGTACCTGACCAACGGTTCAACCCACAGCCTTTGAATCCCTGTAGCTACTTGTCGTATTAAAGGGCTGCACATGTGGAATATCTGACAAACTAAATTTGCTGCAGCAGAAGATGATAGTCTGCAGGGTGTGTCACTTAACACTGTGCTACTCATGCTTATAAGATTTCTAAAGAAATGAACTCTTTAGGGATAACACCAGAAATGAGTGCCTTGTGGTTACATGAGTACATGATTTTGTATTGACTTGGATGCTTGAAAACCAAATGAGATTAAGCATCTAATGGGCATTAGTGACATGCATTTTTATTATTAAAGTGATATTACATATATAGGTATAGCCTGGCTTTGTCAGGCATTTCAGTGTAACTTAGGATGTATCCCTCTTTCTTTATATGTCATGCAATTAGTTTGCTATACACAAATGTTCAAAATGATCTTGTCAGTCTGATTACAATTTTTGCTTCCGTTCTTTAAAAGATCATGAAAGAATCCCTCTCCTCCCACCCATTCCAGCTAGTATCCCCAATGGACAAACTTAAACCCACTGCCATTAAAAATGGTGGTGCGGGGGAGGTATGGATATGTTGGACTGACTAGTTCTAAATGTCTTCTTCTGCTAGGCCATGTCTACACTACAAAATTATGTCAACTAACTTACGTCAGCTTACAGCCACCATAACTGTTACATTGCTTGTGTGCGTGCATGCTTGGCTCCTTGTGTCGGCAGTGTACATCCTCACCAGGAGTGCTTGTATCAATTGTATTGTCAGTGTGGGGACATTGTGGGATGGCTCCTAGAGGCCAGTAACAGTTGACATAAGCAATACAATGTTTACACTGGCACTGTGTTGACAAATGAGATCAACTGTGACTGTATGCCACTTGGGGAGGTGGTGTTACTAAATTGGTGTAGAGAGGCACTTATGCCAGCGGGAGCCAAATTTAAGTGAAGACACATCCACAGCTAAGTCAACCTAACCCTGTTGTGTAGAACAGGGGTTAGTCTTCTCTAAATGAGTCATTCGGATGCCACAATTACGTTGTAAAAGGACTGGCATAAATCCACTGATTTTAAACACAGCTAAGGAGATGAAATTGTGAAAATAGTAAAGCTCTCTGAAAATAGCGCTTCTCTCTATATGGCACATGAATGGTGGTGAACTACTGAGGAGGTAAACTAGCGTAGTCCATGCTACTGTTACGTCTCTCTCTTAAATTATGGTACCTTATTCCATCGCATTGCCCCTGTACAGACAGGAACACTGGCTGCATAATATTTATTTACGGCTGTATATGGCTGTTTCCAAACAAATACATATTCTGTGGGTATGTGAAGGTAGTTCTCTTACTCCACACACACACACACACACCGTTTCCTTGAGAAATACTGTTTCTTTGTGTTACTTTACCAGAGTAAAAGGGGCAATACAAGAGTAAAATGCACTATCACTTAAAATCATGATAAACTACTGGTGTAAAGTAATCTTGTATTCTAGGAATTTCAAAGGACTTTAAGAGAGTTAGGTGCCCAATTCACATTGAATTTCAATGGATGGCAATTAATTTCCCTGGGCATATCTGAAAATCCCAGTTTTGACTGTGAGTTATGGTGTGTGTGTGTGTGTGTGTGTGTGAGAGAGAGAGAGAGTAAATACTGTGTTTCAGTATGTGACTTCATTTTCTGTAGCATTTCAAAAACATCTCATGTAAAATGTCAGTCTGGTCCCTGAACCGAATAAGGTAAAGAATGACAGCTCACAATGCGTGATTTGCCATGATTATTAGAGCAATTGTTCCCCACCTCCTTCTCTTTTTTTCATCAAAAGATTCTATTTAACAATACACTAAAATGATGCCCAAATTGGTGTCGCAGTCTGAAATGCTAATCAAGGTGGTAAACCTAGATCAACCTGATGGTTCTGGGATTAACAGGAAGCCTGATTTGTGGGAAATTTTCTGATATGTCCTTTGGTACTGTACTAGGGCTCTAACAATCTAATGTAAATTATAATGGCTTTTAGGTGTCCCAGTAAACACTTATGATAAATGTCAACATTTCTTACCTCATTTCCTGCAAGCCCTAAACACTAGCTGCCAGTGCTATGACATTTGTATCACCAGTCAAAGGTACTTCGTCAATGTAATTGCAACTGTTGTTTACTAGTGTCCCTCTGTCTTTTGCTTCTGTTTTTACACATCATAGTAGTTTCTTCTTCTTTACAGTTTGTGCCTCTATTTTTGTGGTGTGTTTGCCTGGGTCTCCCACTGTCTTCACAATACAAAATGCCTAAATGGCTTACCTTCTGCAGCATTTTTGGTATTGGCGTTAATATCCAGCTATGGAAATCTATGAAGTACCAATCACTAGGTCAGATTGTGCTTGTGTTATAAAAAACTTGCTTATTATTTTTTGTTAATAGCTTTTGGTTGTTGTTGTTGTCACAGTGTGTTGCATATAATGATAAATAAGTTAACTTTAAATGTATAGGGACATTTACAGACCAAGTTTCCCTTCAAAATACAGGGCTTGTTTTTTTTTAAAGAGATATTTGTGTCAGTTTTGAGCAGATCATCAAATTTATTTATTTCCATACATATTAAATTACATTTGATACTCATGAAGGGTAGTGGTTACTTGGCTGACATCACAAGAGCCTTAAGATTTTAATGGGGCATCTGTGCTAAGAAATTTCATGCCATTTTCCAGCAACTGCAGCTGAAATGTCGCAGTAAAATTGGTACTAATTTTCCTCGTGTAGCTTTGTCCAGAGATCAGGTGCAGCACAGTCAGTAACAATGCAAGTTTCCTCCCTGCTAACATGCGTCAACACTCTTTAGGAACAGCTATTTCTAGGAATGCGAGGGTGATTCAGTCTCCATGTATGTTTGATCTATGACTGCTTTGCTGAATCTGCTAACCGTGCCAGACAGCACCAATATTATTAACAACTATGGAGCAAATTCTGTGGTCTTTAATTGAACAAAATTCCCATTGATTTCAAAAGGAGCTCTTGCTCATTTAAGAACTATGTACTTGATCCTGCTCTCATTAAAGTTAATGCAAAACTCCCATGGACTTCATTGGCACAAGATCAAACCCTCTGAAATTTGGCCCTTTGCTCCTATAAAGCATTAACAATCCCAAAGCACATCTGGTTATCCAAATCTCTAATTCTGAAATGCTGGTGTTAGCTAATGATACTTATTTTTTCAAAGAGTATCATCTTTAGGAAGCCTGGGACACGACTGTGGCCCAGATCCACAAAGGGACATAAGCATTGTGATGCTCAGCGTCACAATGCCTAACTTTTAGGTACTTTGGAAATCACTGGAACAACAATGGGATCCACAAAGTCTGGATTAGGCT